CCTTAAATATCTCCACTCTGGTATTCAGTAAACCCCTGACAGCATAAAGAGTCATTACTACTCTCTGCCTTAGAGACACATTTTTCTTTCCCCATCTTCATTGACAATTTTCAAATCCATTTATTAAGTTAGGAAAACAAACCTATATAAATATTTTGTTATGTAATTGAATATTTAAGTATTGAAGGTCTTTGGATAAAACTTGACACAAAGCGTTTACAGTCTGTTTCCTTAACAAGTTTCCACTTCAGTTCTTTAGTTATTTAACCATGCAGTTACTCAAAAAGGCCACTCTAATTAAACGTGAATTTTTGCTCACTTTCAGATTACTACTTTGATAAAAAGTTGATTTTCAACATTTGTTCCCACTAATTCCTTTCCAACACAGTTAATTTAGATTACCCTCAATTAATCTGGCCTGACCACTGTGAAGACCTATGGTTGCATGTGTGAGATCATCTTACAGCCTGAGGCTGCTGTCTTCTGATCTATAACAGTGGGAAATATCCAAAATTACCAGTTCCAGTGCCAGGTTTCTCTTGTAGCACATACTAATCTGCTGATTTTTAGACTCTAGATTTCAGATTATAGCTTACATACAGAGTTTACAGAACCAATACCTACTATTGAACCTTTTGATTGAGGCCAAGGACTTTTATAAATACAAGCAGCATCACAAAAACAGAAACTGACACGAAGAGCATTTAAAGTAGGCCTAATTTTATCTGCGTGAAAAATACGATTAATATTAATATCTGTGCCTGCTTACTAACACAGTTTTAGAAACTCACTGTTTTTAATGAAAAAATTATGAAAAATAAATAGAGTCAACAACCTGTGACTGGAATTGTTTTTAAAACCACTGTCCTGGTATCTTCCTTACTGTCATTTACACAGACAGCATGCCCTGATTATGCTATAATGGTACATTATTCTTAATAAGATTCACTTGATGGAACCAGAATTTAATTATTGTCTTTAAAACTGATTTTAAGTGCAAACAGCTTTTAAATGGAATAAGGACTTAATTTAGGCATGTATACATTACTACAGAAATCGATGTTCGCATGCCTTACAAATGACTTGCATGCCATGTTTTACACAGACTTTTCTTCTGAGAAAATTTCTTCTTTCATACACCAAGGACTGAATTCATATCACCTCATTTAGTCATCTAAAACGATGCATGTCTTCTACAGAATAATCATATAGACCATTTTCATAGAGGAGATGGAGATATCCATTGGCAACTCATCCAGCCTATTTTAATGTCTGTAATAGAACGGGACAGGTCACTTTCTGTAATATCAGCCTCCCTTTTATGGACTACAGAGGGAGCCAAGAAACAATCCTGGACAAGACAAGTGTATTTTAGATGGTCCTACATAAGATGTGTGAATGATATTTCCTGAATCTTAACCCACTCTGAGGGGAGGGAGGAAGGTGCCGATTCCTATGACAAAAGATGAACAGGCAGGCTCTTACCTGGCAATAACAGGTATTTTGGTTTTGGAAATCACTAATTTATGCTGTGGTATCACCAAGGTGTGCCTGCATAGAACAAGGCTTCCCTGCTCTAGGTGCTGTATAAACAGAGAAATAAATGGTACTTCCTGAAAATTACGTATTCAGATGAAAAGAAAATGAGAATTGCTTTAAGATATAAACAAAACTTGTATTATTTCACAACAGCCTTGAAACATCACCTTAACATTTCTGTAATAAATTCTGGACAAATCTTTATGTATGCTGCATAAAATACGACTCTCACCATTAGCAAATATTAAATACTGGTGAAGTAAATATTTTTCCTAAAGGTATTGTTAAGAAAAAAGAGACTTGCTGCTAAAAAGGTCATGGTACTGCATTCCTGAATCTGGTAAAAACTCCACTGAGTTCAATAGATGTTTTGCCTGAATACTGATGACAAGATCTGTGTTTTCACTTTTCCCATCTGAAACTTGCACTTCAGTCATTGTGTCATTTTAATGGTCTTGTAACGGGAAGTCTCCCTAGGTTTGGATTAGTTGCTTCCTACAGTAACCTCATATTGCTGAAACATTATAATCGCATAAACACAGTTTCCACATGCTAACGCTGCATTTGTTTTGATTCAGTAAGCACATTTTAACGGTATTAGCACAGATTCTCTCTAGACTTGTATGGGAATCATTTTATTTCTATTACATTACAAAGTGAGATTACAGCAACACTAAATCCAGATTGCTGTGACACAAAATTTACAAAAAAGGCAAAAAGAATAGCTCCATAAATATTTATTATATTCAGAAAAAGTTAAACACAGCTGCCATTTAGAAACAAGGGCTGCCCTGGCTGCATCAAGAGCATTGTAAGTGAGCCTTTCCTCTAGAACCATGCAGTTCTAGGAAACGTGACATAGCACAGGTTCAGCATATATTTACAGATAGAGGAAATGCTTTGAGCATTCAATTCCACTGTGAGCAACCACTACAGAGCATGGAAAAGCCCCGAATTAGAAATACACAACGCATCTGTAGTAAATTACCATTAGCTAGTACATGCTGTGTTATCTCACCATTCCCCATATGCAAACATTTTGAGCAAGACAAAGGAAGAGGAGAGGCAGAGGTTAAGAGAGCAGGTGTAGACTATTTCAGGAAGAACTTAAAAACCAAACTTTTCCCCTCTTCCCCCATGCTTCTGCCAACTCTGTAGACGTTTACAGCGTGGATAGAACTCAGCATGGTTCTTCCTCTTCCCTGAAAGACAAACGAGTTTTCTAACTTCTTCTAAGACAGACGGTTGCCAGATCTACTTTACTTCTTCAAAATAGTATTCTTCAAAAATCTATTCAGAAGTGCTAATTACAGGACAAACATGCCAGAAAAGCAGCGCTCTCTCATACACTTTCACACAACAAACATGGCTTTTTTTTTCTCCTGCAGTGTCACAGAAGTGCAGCTACAAGGGCTATGGAGCAGAGTTCACCACAACTGCCTGGGTGAGAGCAGCAGGAGGAGTGAACTTGCTCCAGAAGGACAG